TTCATTCTCTTCAGAAACAATCATTCACTCCTGTAATTCGCTGACAAGCAGACATTTTTTCTCGTGATTTTTTTTTCTGATGATGATGGCCATACTGGCCAAAACTAGTTGAGGAACCTAATTGAAATAATAAAACAAAAAAATATTAATATACAACCCAGTATGTCTGAAAATGTTAATTTTTTAATATTTTTTATTGTTCAAAACATACATACATACATAGGACTATGATATATATATATATATATATATATATATATATATATATATATATATATATATATATATATATATATATATATATATTTCTGCATTCTCTTGAGGTTGCAATCAGACTCGATGAATTAACTAAATATAATTATCAAATCCTCCTAAAATTTCCATCTGTGTATATCATTGCTTGAACCGGCTTCTAATGCTCTAGAGTGAGCGGCTTGGTGAGAGTTGTCGTGGCTCCAGGGGGCACAGTCCTACGGTTACAGAGAACGCAGTATGGTTCCACCACGGAATATGTAAGCGAGCGGCGCTTTGTTGAGTCTGATTTTCAATCTCTTCGTCACCGAGGCCCATTAGAACAGTTGGTATGATGTTGGCTTGACGACCGAACTGTCAGGGTTTCAATTCTCGGTAGTGGATGAGCCCTGCTGATGAGTCCCAAATATAGGGCGAAACAGCCGTCCTCTGCATTCTGTTGAGGTTGCTATCAGACTCGATGAATTAATTAAATATATATATTTATATATATACTAAGTGCCATATTATTATCGAGATAACATTTTTTCTAATATTTCAAAAACCGTCCAATCAATTCCCACAAAATTTTCACACAATGTTGGCAATACTGACTTGCGCAATCACTGCAATTTCCGTACTGATCTGCGCAATATAAACAAACTGGCGCCATATTTGTTATCAGCACGGTGATTTGAGCGTGCCAAATTATTAGAAAAGTGTAAGAATTTAGTGAAGCAGTTTAAGTAATGCTGAAAAGAAAACTATCACCTCAGAACTCTCAAAAGCTAAATCTACCCTAGAAATTTCTAAAATGATAGGGAGGTGTCATCAAACAGTGAAAAAGTTCACCGCCGACCCCACACAAGTACGCAAAAGGGCAGATAAAGGCAAGCCGAGGGTTATTTCACGTCGTCTCAGGTCACGACTTAAACGAGAGGCCACGAAGAACCCTGAACTTACCAGCCAAGAGCTTTTCAGTCGATCCTACTGTATCTAAAAGTACTCGGTGTCGGTATCTGAGGGAAATAGCAACAACAGTCAAACCTGTATGGAAGCCTCCGTTGACGAGAAATCACATTCAAAATCGATTGAACTGGGCCGAGGACAATATGAAGATTGACTTCTCTAAAGTTTTGTTCACAGACGAAACTCGAGCAACACTTTATGGGCCAGATAGATGATGCAAAGGCTGGGTAATGAACGGACAGAATCGCCATCAGCGTGTGAGACGCCAACAAAGCGGTGGAGGCATAATGATTTGGGGTGGTATTATTGGAAAAACATTAGTGGGCCCATGGAGAGTACCAGATGGCGTCAAAATGACTGCTGATGCATACATAGCGTTTATGAAGGAGCATCTTGAACCGTGGATGAAAAGGCAAAGAGTTGCCTTCAGAAGGGTCATTGTTTTTATGCAAGATAATGCTCCCTCACATACTGATCACAAGACTACTGAATATTTGAAACACTTAGGCTTCGATGGACCTCGAAAAATGAAGTGGCCAGCAAATTCTCCGGATTTGAACCCAATCGAAAACCTTTGGCGCATCATGTATCGAAGACTGTACGCCCACGGACGACAATTAAGGAGCAACACTGAGTTGTGGGAAGCAATTCTTGACATATCTCGCGGCATTACAGCAGATGACATCCTACAATTAACAAATTCTATGGATTCTAACATTCCATATTAATTTGTTTAAAACTGTGCCTTTGTTCGTATCTGTTATTATTTGTTTGATTATCTTATTTCTTAGCTTTTTTGATCGTAAACATTCACGTGCAATATTAATAAACGTTTTCTTTGCTCAATTCTGGGAAATTTGCTAAACCTTTTTAATAATTTGCCACGCTGAAATCACCATGCCGATAACAAATATGGCGCCAGTTTCTTTACATTGCGCAGATCAGTACGAAAATTTCTGATTGCGCAGGTCAGTGTTGCCAACATTGTGTGAAAATTTTGTGGGAATTGATTGGACGGTTTTTGAAATATTAAAAAAGTTATCTCGATAATTATCTCGATAATATATATATATATATATATATATATATATATATATATATATATATATATATATATATATATATATATATATATATATATATATATATATATATATATATATATATATATATATATATATATATATATATATATATATATATATATATATCATATATATATATATATCATATATATATATATATCATATATATATATATATCATATATATATATATATATATATATATATATAAATTATATATATATATATATATATATATATATATATATATATTAGTATGTCCTGTTATTTACCAATAACTGGAGGGAAGAAGAGATGGATTCATACATTTCCCAAGGTTATCAGTACGTAAGGGAATGTAATGAATTCGACTGGAATTCGAACTCGGCTCTTCGATTCCGCAATACATTACCGTGCATCTCATATATTCTATAGCCTTGGGTCGCAATCAGTCTAGAAGAACAGCTCTGAATTTAATACAGGGCCCTTGTGGCATAGTCTGCACCAGTTCTTTGTATTCGGCTCTTCCAAAAAGTGTAGTTGGTCCTTCACAAGCCTTAATCACTATGATCAAATCATAGGTGCAAATGGTCTGGACGTTTGTTCTCAGAACTGAACTGTTTGACTCTCATTCGTCGAAAACGTCAGGTAAAGTATAATATATATATATATATATATATATATATATATATATATATATATATATATATATATATATATATATATATATCAATAAAGGTGCAATTAATTTACAAATTCATGAATTATTCATACAAAAACAAATACAAAAATTGGATTTCTCGCCAATTAAATCATTAACCTTTGTATTTGTTTTTGTATGAATAATTCATGAAAATATATATATATATATATATATATATATATATATATATATATATATATATATATATATAATGTTAGTGGTCAGAGTTGAATCAGACCTGGAACCAGTAGTATTAAAAAGTGCTCAATACACGTGAGAACAAAAATAAGTAAAAATAAAAATAACATGTAGAGCTTTAAAAATTCAGGAGGTCAATTAAAATACGCGACCATGGTTTCAACTTGACGGTCTCTTCGGGCGATAATTTTCAAATGACCACTTTAACGCTTTATTTAAAAAAAACACAAAGAACGCTACATAATTATCTTTAAAAAAATAACTGGCTCACGATGATTGAAAAGCAGAACATTGAATGTCATGGAAAGGAAAAGGAAAAGTACGGTTAACAAAAAAGAGAAAAAAATGAAAAGGAACGGGAATGCAAGTATATTCTAGATGTATACAGTAAAGAGGGAAAGCAAATATGTAAGTTGTTATGAAGGGTTAGGAGACTAGCGTGTCTAAAGAGTGACAGTGGGATTTTGAATTAGATTTTTTTAACCTGCTTCATATTCACTTAATAAAAAAAAAATATGTGAGGACAAGGGCTTAAAATTTGGCATTTTTTGTTTAAAAGATTTTTTGGGACCCGGATGTATATGTATATGTATGTATATAATGGACATAATGGGAAAAGTGCAACAACATTTTTTAACGATGCCTTTCGCCGACAATATTTGTTAGCTTCGGCGTCTTCAGTTTAGAATGAAAGACAAAACTGTGTGTAAGGAAAATAAGTTGGGCTTTTTGAATGATAAAAGAGGCAATAAGTAACATTATATTATCAGATCCGACGACCAGAAACCACACACACACACACACACACACACACACACACACACACATATATATATATATATATATATATATATATATATATATATATATATATATATATATATATATAATTATTTATTTAAAATAATATGATCCAAACACGCTATATAAGAGTTCTCATGTTTCAAAACAAGAGCCGAAAACTTCAATATAATTATTTGAATTAAATTGAATTAAAGTACTAAGCTCTGTTCCATCTTCAAGCGAAATTTTTTTTGGGTGGGTGGGGAACATGAGAACTCTTATGTAGCGTGTTGGAATCATATTTTTAAATAAATAATTATATTTATGCTCTATTTTTGTATCGAGCACTATTTTTTTAAAAGTAATAAAAAAAATACTAAAGAATTTGAAATATTTACCTAAGGAGTTCTTTCCTATTTCCTATATATTTTTCAACACACACACACACACACACACACACACATATATATATATATATATATATATATATATATATATATATATATATTAGAGCCGTTGGTGTCTGTTGGATTTTAAATCAGTTCACTCGAAGTAGATCTGTTTCCTTCTAAATTAACTCATATGTCCTATTGTGCTACTATTGCTTTTGTGCTGACGAATTCTCCTCTGTGCCAGTGAATGCTGGACAATATCGTCAGGGATGAAGAAGTAACCTGAAGCAACAGAAATGTGTTTCTGCATAAAGATGCTGAGTAGATCATCGACCGAACATAAGAGCAATTTCTAGAGACAATGGCAGGAAATGGACACTTGTACTTAACATCAGGAGGAAAGAGTTGAAATTTCTAGAGTACATAATAACGAAAGACGGCATGGAAAATTTGATACTCACAGGGCAGATTGAATGAAAGAGGGACACAGGAACGGAGCGCATAACCTACCTAGAGAGTCTCAGTGAATAGATGTCGAAGCAGGGTTTGCAAGAAATGGCAAAAAGACAAAAAGTTATTAAGGCTTACACAGGACAGGAAATTGTGGAGAGCCATGATTGCTAACGCCTTGATAGGATATGTCATAAAGAAGAAGATCGGTTTATGTATACTGAGAGAGAGAGAGAGAGAGAGAGAGAGAGAGAGAGAGAGAGAGAATACCATCCGAAAGGTGCTATATGTCTGATGTAAAATTTGAGGAAAAATACCCATAATGCAAGATCGACTAAAAATACAAAACCAGGAAAATGTGGAGAGCCATGATTGTTAACGCCTTGATAGGATATGTCACAAAGAAGAAGATCGGTTTATGTATACTGAGTGAGAGAGAGAAAGAGAGAGAGAAAGAGAAAGAAAGAGAAAGAGAGAGAGAGAGGGAGAATACCATCTGAAATGTGCTATATGTTTGAAGTAAAATTTTAGGGAAAATACCCATAATGCAAGATGACTAAAAAGACAAAACCGTGTGAAAAGAACCGGAAAAACAAAACCGGAAGAGAAGAAAATAATAATAAAGTAAAAATCGAAGGGAAAAAAACTTGCATGAAGTTATTTTTTTCCCGAGAAAACCAAAATGTGGCCGATTATTATTATTATTATTATTATTATTATTTTACAATGATGTTAACTCTCTACAGGTAGAGGGTTACAGAGTATGAGGCACAGTTAAACGCGATATAAGGGGAAGATAACAGTTGAACCTAGAATTGAATAAGTTGAGTTTGTAGAGATCGGGAAAGCATCCTCTTGGGAGTCGGTTTTAAAAAAACAGCGCTTCTTTGGAAGAGGCTGCTAGAGTGGAACGTACATCTCTCCAAAAGAACACAAAAGCAATGAAGCTGGTTTGCTACAGTGTGGGTAGCATGGCGGGTCTTAGCCGTGAAGGTTAGAACTGGGTGGAACTAAAGAATGTAATTCGTCTGAACACTTTCCATCGAAATAATGTTAAAGCACCTAGAGGATTACGACGTTTCGTCTGTGAAAAATAGATTGCTGGATGAAAAATAATTCATCACCCAAAAGGCCACATAGAGGATCTTGGACTCTACTGGGACTGGTAAGCGAATATTATGTGGATTCTAAAAGAAGAGGATTGCAACAGGAATCAGATTCTTACTGGAGTGGTAGGGAATCCTTTGAGGTCTGGATTGAGCTTGTCTCAATAGGCTCTCAAGGTATGACTCCCCCACCCCCAGACAGAACATCCATTCATTGCAACAGATGTTTGTTCAGTGATGATTGAACATCACAAGTTCGCTATACTAAAAACACCACATATACTCAGAAAAGTACTTTCAAATAAAGACAAGTCTCTGTATATATTTCTGAGATGAGGTATTATGTACACTATTTACATTATTCGGACTATTGTCCTCATCTTTGTCACCATATTTATTACAACGTTTCTGAGATGAGGTATTATGTACATTATTTACATTATTCGGACTATTGTCCTCATCTTTGCTACCACATTTATCACAACGTTTAAGTCGTTGTACGCTCCGGCCTTCTTTAGGTGGTTGGAATGTCGAACTGAAGCCTTTATTTCGCTCGCTGGGGTAGACTATTCTAGTTCCACGTGCCATGTCTAATGAATGTCAGTTTTTGCAACTAAATACAGACCATGTACTCAAGCATTCATAGTGTAATGATGGATATTTATTGATGACAGTATCCACATCAAAGTCAACAGCCAATCAGAACCTAGAAAATAGGTTTGCCGAAATAGTAGAATGGAACATCCCAGCCTGTTATATAAACCAAACTTGAACGAGTTATGGTTGTAGTGATGGTGCATGGAGGATTGATTGGTGACGGACAAATATTTGTGGTGAATGTGCAAATTGTAATGAGTGAATGGGTCGTGAATTGGATTAGCCTGGTATAATATAGTTAGTGAAGACCAGCCTCAACCCCTCCCCTTTTTTTGGCCTTGTGCCATAATTGTATTTTTATATACAGTAAATACCGGTGATTGGGGAAGCATCCTTATTGGAGTTGATTCCACGAAGCAATGGTTTGTGGGAAGAAGCTGTTCAAGTGGAACTTACATCTCACGAATGGAATACAAAGACAATGAGGCTGGTTTGCTACAATGTGCGTAGCATGGCGGGTCTTAGTCATAAAGGTTAGAACTAGTGGTACTAAAGAATGTAGATCATCTGAATACTTTCCATGGAAATGGCGATAGACTAGTGAGAGGGAATAAGCGTGGTTAGCTACAATGGGCGTGGCATGACGGGTCTTAGCCGTGGAGGTCAGAGCTGGTGGAACTAAGCAATGCAATTCGCCTGAAGACTTTCCATAGAAATACTGATAAAGCAGCTAGAGAATTGGGACGTTTCGTCTGTGACAAATGGATTGCAGGCTGATAATTTGTCACCCACAACGATATTCGGCTATATCGAGAGTGAAAAGTGAAGAATGGGCAGCTCCTACTCATATACGGCAGGATTACTTAATTTTCAGCCTGATCTGGTTCTCGTAAAGGTAAAAGATACCAGGAGGAATCTGGTATTTACTGGAGCGGTAAAGGGAACCGATTAATTTTCCAGCATCTTTAACTATGGATACGAGTTCCCACCTGAGGTCTCAGATGAGTTCAAGGTCAAGCCACGAACCCTCCCTACATAGTTGTAGTATAAACCACAGGTTGGCGTTGTGGGTGTTGAAGAAGAAACACAGGTGTTGGAGCATACCCTAGCAGGCAGCCACCCTAGCAGAGAGGCATACTTATTATGGGTATAGTCATTAAAGGTAAGTTATAGTTTAGTATTATGGTTGGCAGCAACAGCAATAGAAACAGACGAAGCTTCGAACTATGATTTGGAGATATCAATATCAAATAAGTACAGAAGTTTAACTGATGCCGAAAAATGTGACACCAAAATACGAAGAACAGACGCGTTCCAAAAGCTAAACAATGTATTAAGAAAGAAGGGGATTGATATTACATAACTGTAATATAAATCCCCTTATATGGCTATGAATACTCGATAATCTCTAGAAGCTCTTCACAGATGAAAAGAAAACCGGATGCAACGGAAATATGGCTCTACAGAAGGATGCTGAGAATACTGTAGATGGAGCGTGTAAACAACGAAGAAGTCTTAAGGAAAATGGAAACAAAAAGGACTCTTATAATCAGAATCGTTTTATAGACTACGCAAAAGCGTTCGACAAAGTACGCCACGAAGATCTGTTAGGGCTACTCACCAACCTTGACATATTCGGCAAAGACATTCGAATAATCAAAAACCTCTACTGGCAGCAAACCGCCTGCATATAGATAAAAACGAGCTCAAAATAGTAAGAGGCGTAAGTCGAAGGATATGTCTTCTCATCGGACTTATTCAACCTATACAGCGAAGCAAGAACTGGAAACCCAACCAGGATTCATCATTGGCGGTCACAATCTTAACAACATCAGATACGCAGATGACAACAGTGCTGATAACAGGCACAGAAAGGAAACTACTAAACCTACTACAGAAGGTAAAGAAGGAGAGCGAGAAAGGACTAAAATAAAGAAGACAGATGTCATGTTTATCAGCAAAAAATTGAGCCCAAAATGCAATTTACAAGTCAGGGACACTAAAATCAAGCAGATGCGGGAATTTAAATATCTAGGAAGTGTTCTGACAGAAGACGGTAAGTGTGACGCTGAGATCCAAAGATGTATTGGGATGGCCAAAGACGCATTCTAAAAGCTAGGCAGAGTTTTACCAGACATGAGGGTTTCGTTGTTAACAAAGAAAAGCGTACTGAACTGTTACGTGATATCTGTCCTCCTTTACGACAGGAAATGTTGGACGGTCTCCTCAAAGATGAAGAAGAGACTCGAGGCAACGGAGGTATGGTTCTACAGAAAGATGCTAACGATACCATGGACTGAACATGTGAGCAACGATAAGGTTTTGAAGAGGATGCAAACAAGGGGGAAGCTTATACTTAACATCAGGAAGAGGCTGCTGAAATCTTTGGGACACGTAATGAGAAAGGAAGTCTTGGAGAATCTGATACTAACATGGCGGAGATAGGGAAAGAGAGACAAGGGAAAGTAAGTGGTGACATACCCAGCAGGCAAATGGATGGCAAAACAGGGTCTGGGAGAAATAACAAAACTTATTGAGAGCTACAAGGGACAGGAGGTGGTGGAGAGCCATGATCGCCTACGTCCTGAAAGGACAAGGTATATAAAAGAAGAAAAATACTCAGAATCAGAAAAAGAGGTGAAATTTCAATGATATATAATGAGGAAGGTGGGCTTGGAGAATTTGGCACTCAGAAGACATATCGAAGGGACAAAGGATAGGAGGTGGCTTATGAAGATGGGTGGCAAAATGGGGAGTTAGAAGGATGATAAAAAGACAAACATTGTTAAGAGCTACAAAGCATTGGAAGTTATGGAGAGCCATGATCGCCTACGTCCTGAAATAAAATAACATAAAAGATTCATTATATTTGCGTCTCCTCTCCTTCGTGCTGATATGTAATTACATCAACGTAAATATCACTTTAGTCCGATGAAGCCTTATCACAGAAAGAAACACTGCTAATGGTGACAAGGGAGACGAAATTTTGAAGAGCCATTATCGATGTCCTGAAGGAATGCAGCACATAGAAGAAGAAGAAGAAGAAGAAGAAGAAGAAGAAGAAGAAGACAGAGGAGGGAGGGAAGAAGAAGAAGACAGAGGAGGGAGAAGAAGAAGAAAAAGAAGACAGAGGAGAGAGAAGAAGAAGAAAAAGAAGACAGAGGAGGGGGAAGAAGAAGACAGAAGAGGGGGAAGATGAAGAAGAAAAAGAATACAGAGGAGGAGAAGGAAGAAGAAGAAGAAGACAGAGGAGGGAGTGAAGAAGAAAAAGAATACAGAGGAGGGGGAAGAAGAAGACAAAGAAGAAGACAGAGGAGGAGGAAGAAAAAGAAGAAGAAGACAGAGGAAGAAGAAGAAGAAGAAGAAGAAGAAGAAGAAGAAGAAGGAGGCAGATGGAGAGAATGAAGAAGAAGAAGAAGAAGAAGAAAAAGAAGAAGAAGAAGAATACAGAGGAGGAGGAGGAGGAGGAGGAGGAGGGAAAGAAGAATGTCTACTTGTAAAACCTCCAATATAGGCTTAATGTGAATATGACTTATCGAAAACTCATATTTGCTAACACCAAGGCCACGGGGTTTTAAAATAGAACATGGTAGAAGTTATTTTTAATGTTCTAACAATTCGCTATTTATAAATGATGAATATATTTCCTGCTCCATCTTGCTAATGTTTATAAAAGAAAGCAGAAAGAGAAAAAAAAACAAGTAAATCCCATATTTGTTTTCTTCTGCTTTGTCTCTCGTGTCATTTTCTTTCTTGCCCTGCTGTCTGTATCACGGCTACCATACAGCATTTTGTCGAGGAACGGAAACAGAATCATTGATAGATAACAATGATCATCTGTATTCAAAGTTTGAAAATATGGTCGGCCAAAAAACAAAAAACAAAAAAACATGGCCGATATAGTGGAGACTTACAAATGATAAGCAGAAGTAGAAAATGAGTAAGTTAAAGTATCTAAAAATGATCCGGGTGTTTGAAATTAATGACACTGATGGCCTGTTTAGATTAACAGAAAAGAAAGAGTTATTTTTGCTGATGAAGTTACATAATTTTTTAAAATTCAGGGTGCAGCAGAAATACCTCCCATATTTGAAAATATATCCTACGTGGCGCCAGGGAACTTAGACTAGTGGTAATGGCGTCTTCATCTAGCTAATACGTTACCATTTTTTTCGATACCATCAGTTACCATCATGGCTTGAACTGATGCACATAGTCCATTTTCTGTTGAAACGTTTTTTTATTAAACTAGCAAATGCATAAAAATAAATTCTTCATTTATTTATCTATCTCTCTTATATATATATATATATATATATATATATATATATATATATATATATATATATATATATATATTATTAAAATCAAAATTAGAAGCGACAGGCTGTTTGATGCTAGACATAATCGTCATGCCGTCCAAAAAAAAAAAAGCAAAAAACAGCCTGTCGATTCTATGAATGTTGACTTCAATGTTCTTTTTTATTTATATTTACATGCGTTCTGATATTGAGCATTTTATCCGATAAATACAGCATACCTTAAAACTATATTTCTTCATATATAGATAGATAGATATGCACTGAAACCAAGTTGCATCTTTGTAGTGAGTAAAATGGTTTTGTCTATATGATAAAATTATAATAAATAAATAATTATCGCTCTACTATTGGTATCGAGCCCTCTTTTGGATTAATGTTGTGAACGTTGGAATTTGTATATTACTTTCGTTCTCATCGCATCGGATATATATATATATATGTGTGTATATATATATATATATATATATTCCTTTGTGGCGGCTTCCTAACATCCAAACAAGGTTAAATGGAAACGAAAACTGATACTGCTGTTCTGCCTGGCGTCCATTACTATTCGCGCGGCTATTTGTAAAAGTCATATCTGCTTGCTCAGGATATATCCTGCCATTGTTAAACGGAAGACTTCTCAGTTAGCTCACTACTACAAACTATAAATGAAGCAAGACTGGCAACAAATGTACACGAATGACCAACGTAACCTAGTCTATATGGCTACTCAGCGCCATCTACTGTAAACTTTCATTAGACTTAATAACTCAAAAATGATAGATTTGCAGACATATGTTTATATAGACTTTTTCCCTTGTTTTTGGTGTGAGGAACCCGATCCCAATGTCAGCAAAGTTTTTTTTGATACATATTTTTTCATATATATATATATATATATATATATATATATATATATGTTTATACATTTTATACAATTAAAATGATTGTCGGACTTTGTCCATTTCATATATTTTTTATATATATATATATATATATATATATATATATATATATATATATTTGAATATTAAAAAAATTTTATGTTTAACGTTCTTTTTTTTTATAGATACAAGTATTTAAGTAAATGCTCTGTTTATAATAAACAGTATTAAATAACATTTACCGGTCTGAATGTTTTGAGAAATTTTCATAGAAAATATTCGTCCTTTGACAGGATTCGAACCTGCATCCTATACGGAACCGTCATTTACGCTGACGTGCCTTGAAGAAAAAAAGAACGTTAAACATAAAAATGTCTTTAATAAATAAATTGTCGGACTTTTGTCCATTTATTTTATATATATATATATATATATATATATAGATAGATAGATAGATAGATAGATAGATACACCTCGTGCATTTCCTAACGGGATCAGACAAACCGGGTTTGTCTGGCTCACTAGGTGTATCTAGGTCTGCTCTACGGTTGTATTGAGCTCTTTTGTTAGTTAGTTGTTTACTTGTTTTCGGGGTTTTTTTCTTTTGGGCTTCAAACCTGTATCTGTGCAATTTTTTTTTGTCGGCAGAAGTCCATGTTTGTAGCTCTTTCTTTTTTTAAAACCTTTTTTTCCCTCGAGATTGATTTGATTAGCAAATCAAAAATTCGAGGGGTTTTTGAAACGAGTCTAGTTATATATATATATATATATATATATATATATATATATATATATATAAATTACAAACATTATTATGTAACAATGAGAATAATTTCTATTTCCCAAGTACTTTCCATCTCTTTCTTATGATCATCATCAGGGGTGCAACTGGTAACGCGAAAACTGTGTAGCTATCCATTACTGATTTTTCTTTTCTTTTACATTTAAATGCTATAGCTGACAGTTACACTTTAGCATTCATTGGAACGTGAATATTTATCCATTACGGATTTTTTCTTTTATGTTGAAGTGTCATGGTCGAGCGTGCATTAAAGCGTGAAAACTGTTCGTTTTATGTGCATTTTAGAACATTATTACAGTATTCGTAGCTTATTTTTTTCAGTGTCGGCTTCAATTTTTAATGAAGATTACTTCGAGGATCTGTAGTTTTGATTTCTTATTTTCTTGGTGTGGGATAGTTATGTTATCAGTATTTTCTATACTGTAAATGTGGACAGAAATGTTAGTGTAAATGTCTCGCAATGGACGAATGGTCAGACATGTGTAGAGTAAGACGTCTTGGTAATGAAGTTGTCGTATACCCAACATTTGTTTTTCTGTCAGAGATACATTCTCCCAAGGGACATTTGAATTGATATATAATGTTGGTTTTACGTAATATATTAGTTGGTGGGGTGGCGTTACTGCGAATAATTAAATTGGTTGTATTGCATTTTGTATAATATATGATTAATTTTACTTTTGATTGGTTTCCGTGGGAGATATTTTGGTATTAATGAAATTGTATATGATTTCCTCATCATGTTTGTAGTTAGCATGCAATTATAATATAAGAATTTAATATATTTAGGGTCCTTTGAGGAAGTACCATGTTCTATGTGACGTGTGTTGATAAATCGTCGTATTTGTTCATCTACAAATATGGTTTGTTTTGATTTGCTTTGTTTTGTGGCATATTAACCTCAATGGGTTATTTAATGCCGACAAGTTTTTTTTTATTGATGCTATTTTTTTTTAATGTATTGCTGTTATTTTTTACAAAGTATTTCTTGCATTAAACCTCAAGTGCCCTGACTCCAGTTTGGGATTCAACCACGTACCTATAACTGGGACTCCATCAGGTTAGGGTGGACATAGGAACACCTGCAATTAATAGGTGGCTCCAGACTCGTCAAAACTTCCTGATCAGGGGCTCTGCTGTTGGACGTAGTTTATCATCATACCCAGGACAGGGTATATTTTGTTTTACATCCTATCAACCTCAATCAGTTATTTAATGACGGTTAGATTTTTAAGATAGGTCCGTATGAATAAAATATGGATTCATTGCTGGTAAATTTTTTTTCAAAACAAATTACTGGTACTTCTATAAAAAAAATACATTTTTATACCTTCCTAGTACTTTGAAACCACTTTAAAGGTTAACTATTTGCCCATAGCTGAGACCCTAGCAGGGGGAGCTGGGATCACCAGCAATTAAGAGGTGGTTCCATGATCCTCAAAATCTCCTAATCAGAGGACTACTGCCGGATGTAGTTTATCGTCATACCCAGAACGGTAATGTGGTTTGGGAAATCATTATTAATGAGAGTCTGCTTAATATTTTTTTACTTCAGTAATTAATTTCTGGTTAATAGATCATACTACTTGATGACCTTAAGTAAATGGATGGTGGAATAGGGTTCAGGGGAGATAACAAAAAGACAAAACTATTTAGAGCTACAAAGGACAGGAAATTGTGGAGAGCCATGATTGCCTACATCCAGAAGGAACATGGCACATAAAGAAGAAAAATGAGCTTGAGTAAATGGATGGCGGAGTAAGGTTTAAGAGAGATACGAAAAAGATCAAATTTATTAAGAGCTACAAAGGACAGGAAATTGTGGAGAGCCATGATCACCTACGTCCTGATGGAATACGACACATAATGAAAAAGAGGTAGTTTCGCCTAACTCTGTAAATTCCTTCAAAGCCAAAATATTAATCTGAAAACATTTTTAAATATCTCCGTCAAATCGAGACTTATATATGGATGTCGTGCATGGCGCCAAATCCGTCCAGAAACTGTATAAAAATGCCTTCTACGGTCAGGGGTTAATAGTAGCATTGAGCGAGTGAATCCTGTGGATCTTGGCAAAGACCAACATTGTGTACTAGTGTTACAGGATCACAAAAAAAATCTCTTCCAGCTAACAGAAACTACATCACTTGTTGACTTTCAACATTAGCAACAACTAAAATGTATAGCGTATATAACGCGAAAGGAAAATAAAGACACAATCAAGATGTTGACGTTCCACGCAACTACAAACAAAAGGTTAGGAAAGAAACTCCCGCCTATACTGGAAAGGGCGATAGCAGCTACTGGACTCGTGAAACATACTTTGTTAAAAAAAAATTATTTTAAGAGAAACACAAAAAATTCAACCGAGAGCCATCAAGACTATCATCTCTTTGAATATTGTCGTCTGGAGCTACCGAAATGCAACCAAGAAATTGTGCAAAATAACAACAACGTCGAAAGAATAATAAAAAGTCAAATGTGACAGGTTAAGTTTAAATTTTCGGACATCAAACGTCAGAATTTAAAATTAAATGTCAAACGTACTTATATATTTGTTTTAATGCAAACTGTAGACGACGTTTATTGCATTTTTTGCTTTTACTGCATAAGATCAACTGGAACAATTAACCTGTTACTTGTTTCAAGTCGTCACATTCGGAACGAAACGTTTATCCATGTGTACACATATACAAACACATGCACACAGGTATAAAGACGTACACTTATCCACATACACATTTATAGCTCAATTTTTTTTCTGCTATTTTCCCCCCAAAATTATCGTGTCAGACACACACACACACACACACACACACACACACACACACACACACACACACACACACACACACACACATATATATATATATATATATATAAATATAAAAGTGAACAT